AAAAACCCAAACTATTATAGGAGAAAAAAAATAATAAGAGTTCCTGGGGGCAGGGAGGGTGGGGATAAAGGGGAAATGATATCAAGGAGTTCAAGAAGAAATAAGATGTATTGAAACAGATTGTGGTAACAATTTTACAATACTGCTTGATGTAATTGAACTATGGTTTGTTATGATATCTGTAAGAGTTCTCAATAAAATTATTAAAACTTAAAAAAAATTTTAAGAAAATGGTTGTCCCTTGAAGTCACTAAGAATTATTAGCAAAGCAGTAAGCAACAGAAACACCAATACTATTGCCTAATCTTGTGAGTGTGCACGTAGGCACATGGCTCTTGTAAATAACAGTTTCTACGATATTGTTCTTTTTCTTTTGTTTTTCCAATCTAAGAATCTCTGAATCAGATTTTGGGTCAGAACTTTTTTTTTTAACATTCTCATATTTATTTGTTTTTAACCTGTTTTACTGGCACATAACCTATATATAATTCAATAGTTCAATCATATCAAGAAGAGTTGTACAAGTATTACCACAATCAATTTTAGAACATTTTCTCCTTTCTTGTATTCATTGTTATCAGCTCTCCACTTCCTCCCAACCTTCCCTACCATACTCTCATGAAACCATTAGCCCAGTTACTGTCTCCATAGATTTACCTATCCTGGATTTCTGATACAGAAAAATATACCAAAACAAAACAACAACAATATCAAAGAAAAACAGAGAAAAACCTCAACGGAAAAGAAAGTAGAAAAATTTAAAAGCTAGAACAAATTTAAAATGGGTCAAAAAGGAGATCAAATGATAAGACGTTAAATGTTAACCTAAGTACATCTGCAATAATCCACTTTCCAATGCACTCCGCATGAGAGCAAGGCAATTTACATCCCTGCTCTGTGGTCAGAGGGGATTCTCAGGTTTAATCTATGTGCGGACCTTGCAAATAGATTTGGGGCTTCATTGTCATCCATGGTCTTCTGCAAAGCAGGTGTTCACAATTTACGCTCTGATACCACTCCATTCCCTCCTTCAGATTTGGATTATAATATTTACAATCCTTGGATCACACAGGCTACTGTGCTTCTTCCATGTGGACTTCGTTAACCCCTAACTTAGATGGCTGTTTGAAGACAATGGTGTATATTTATGCACAGAATGTTTCTTTAATTGGTAGCTCTTACAGCTCTATCCCAATCCATACATATATCCATTGTGTCAAGCACATCTGTACATATGTTGTCATTATCTTTTTCAAAACATTTTCTTTTCTACTTGAGCCCTTGGTATCAGCTCATTTTTTTTCCTCCCCACACCCCCAACCTCCCTCTCCCATGGACCTTTGATAATTTATAAAAAATTTTTTTTCATGTCTTGCACAGACCGCTGTCTCCCTTCACCCACTTTCCTGTTGTCCTCCCCCTGGGAGGGGACCATATGTCGATCATGGTGATCGGTTCCCCCTTACTCCCCCCCCCCTTCCCTTACCCTCCTGGTATTGATAGTCCCATTATTGGTCCTAAAGAGTTTATCTATCTGGGATTCCCTGTGTTGTGAGCTCTTATCTGTACCAGTGTCCATGCTCTGGTCTAGCCATATTTGTAAGGTAAAATTGGGGTCATGATAGTGGCAGGGGGAGGGGAGGAGCATTACAGAACTAGAGGAAATTTGCATGTTTCATCGGTGCCATACTGCACCCTGACTGGCTCGTCTCTTCCTTGTGGCCCTTCTGACAGTCCAGTTGTCTATAGATGGACTTGGGGGTCTGCACTCCGCACTCCCTCTCATTCCTATTGATATGATTTTTTGTTTTGTTTTGGGTCTTTGATGCCTCATAACTGATCCCACCGACACCTCGTGATCACACATGTGCACTGTATGTTTATGCACAATAAAATTCAACTGTGCCCTGGCAGTGTATAGTGGTTACGCATTGGGCTGCAATCCTTATGATCGGTAGTTCAAAACCACCCGTCGACCCCTAAAGGGGAGGGGGGGGCACTGGGCTTTCTACTCCTGTAGGCAGTTAAAGTCTCTGAAACCCACCGGGGGTGGCATTGAGTTAGCATGACTCCGTGGCAGGGAGTCTCTGCCTCCAGGCCCGCATCTTCTCCTTAGGAACTCCGGCATCCGGTTTTCCCGGGGTAATTGACATGGGAATCAGCCCCATCCCCGCCCTCCTCCTGCCGCTACTGGTACCTCCCCGACCTC